TAAAGGGAAGACGTGGGCAGCTCATGTCTGGCTGCCACCACGCCGTGCGAGACAGGTACCGCTGGATTTTCTCGGCGGCCAGTTCCTCAATAACATCAGTTGCGTACCCCGGGCGTGCGATCTTTGTTAACTCGCGCACATCCTCGGCGTAATCACGTAGATCTTCACCAGGTTGGCGACGGCGCGCCTCTAAGGCCGATTTTGCTTCCTCCTCGTCCCGCGTGCCAAAACGCTGATCGAGTCGGCGCATCAGCTCCTCTAGCTGTGTCTGTGCGCTCGCGGGTAACGCTTCTACAAAATCGGCTGCCCGCCCATCAAGATTCATATTAAGTTGACGTACTGCCTGCGCGTCCGTCCATCCATTAATTTCCTTGGCCCCTAAGAGATTGCGGGCGAATGCCTTCCACGAAGGGGCCCCCCGGCCGGTAAATATTAGTCTTATTTTAGCGTGAGGTAACGCGGGGGTCCGTACCGCTTCCGACACCAATTTGTGGGGGTCGCTAGCCCCCGAAATCCCTCCCTCGATAATGCTAACGGCCGGGCTAGCATCATCAATTGCCCCCCCGCTGATAAGCGAACCGCTGCTGAGTTCCTCACCCATGGTGTGGGAGCCGTCGCCCGAGGATTCCCCTCCACCGCGGGTCCGCGTAGCAGGCATGGTTAATTACGTACGCGCACACCCACACACACAGCTCTGCACGGCACTCACTTAACACTGACCACTCGCGTTACGATCGCGCACCTGTATCATACACGTAGTGAACGTGCGCGCACACACGCATACAGCTCCACACGCGATACCCACTCTTGCGCCGCTCTGCGCAGCGCTCGCCGTCTGCTGGCCGCTTACGTTATGATCGCGCACCTGGGGTACGCCTATTACGCACGCCGCGAGCTTACGCACACACAGTACCACACGCGTTCCCACACGCTCACACTGCACGACAAGATCACGCGAGACCACGCTTCGCTATTAATGATTTATTACCTGGTAACTAATGTTCAATCAGTGAGTCGACGAGGCTGGCCTATTCCACTAAACCGGCACCTATTCCCTATTTATCGGCTATGATTCTAATTCACCTTCTTACTCACTGTTAAGTGTCCACGGCGGTCCGCTGATCCCGGTGCTAACCGCGTGCCTCGGTGCGTCGCACGGACGTCCGGGTCGCTGGCTCGAGCTGCGTCTGGTCGCCTGGCGCTGGAGTAAGAGAGCGATTTCCCCTCTGCGCTCCTCTATTTATCCTCCCTACCTCAAAGGGGATGCTGCGCTGAACAATGGGCTCGTGCACCCCAAGCCCGCGCACGGCGGTTCCCGGGCGCTGTTGATATGCTAATCAGTGAGCGACGTTGGCGGCGTACATCCTAATTACTCCCTTACCCTTCCTAACAAGGGGGCCTGCGCGCTCAAGCGCAATTATCCCAACCCTCCATGACTATGCGCAACAGCCCCTGTGACCCCGCTATTCATGCTGTCCCGTGCCTCCCCTGCTTGCCCCGTCGACCCGTGGGAGTGTGTGTGGGGGGAAATGCGCCTCAACCGCGGTGGCCGAATGCCCCACGCCGCGACCACACCATATTAAGGCCGGCCGCAGCGCCGCGGTGCCACGTAGCACGGGGGAGGTCATCCAATTCCCTGATCGCCGGAAACCGTGAGAATTAATCCCGATAAGGGTCTCTCGGATAAAAACCGGTCGATCAGGTAACCTTCCCTTCCAGCTCTATGGGGGGGGGGGGAAATGCGTGCGGGTGTGTGCTTATGTGGGGCGGGTGATGGGGGCAGTGCGGTGGGGGAAGCCGGGCGGCTCCCTGGCTCGGCAGAGCGGCCCCGTCGTTGTGGCACCACACCCTTTATTCAACAGTTAATCGACAACTCATTTCTGCGTATTGAGTCAACAGTGACCACCTTCCACTCAAATAAGCATTGAGGCAGTGACCATCTACAATTTACAGCCCTAAGCCTGTGGTATAAATTCCATGTTCCTTTGACAGGGGCGAGTATATCCATACAACAGCCACTGTTGACTTCCAGTTCACTCTTGCAAGTCATTCAGGTCACTATCGCACGTGAGACTATCCTGGTTTTTTCAGTGCTCGCCTGTTCTCTAAAAATGATTGCAAAGTGGTAGTTATTTTATCGATCCACGAGGGATGATGAGCTGAGTCGATCCCCCACCAATATGTGAACTCACAACCTACCGATTGCGAACGGCTGGCTCTACCGCTGAGCCATCCGGCCGAGTTAAGCAAATATGTTATATTTAAAATGCTTTCCATATACCGTGAGGTATGGAGAATACCACACCAACGTAGTCGCGCGTTTATTCTTAAGCGTGACGCACGTGTTGCTCTGTGCGTTCACACGGCCACTCAAGGAGTGTGCGATGCCGCCCGGCGGCGGCAGCGAGCGGGCGTCTCGCCGACACGCCGTGAGCTGCCCCTGGCTCAATGGCTCGCGTTTACGCCTCTTGCCACCACCAACACAGCAATAGCAGCAGCAGCTGCAGCAGCAGCTGTAGCAGCAGAAGCAGCTGTACCAGCAGCAGCAGCAGCAGCTGTAGCAGCAGCAGCAGTGGCAGCACCAGTGGCAGCAGCAGTAGCAGCAGCAGTAGCAGCAGTAGCTGTAGCAGTAGCAGCTGTAGCAGTTGTAGCAGCTGTAGCAGCAGCAGCTGTAGTAGCAGCAGCTGTAGAAGCAGCAGCAGCTGTAGCAGCAGCTGTAGAAGCAGCAGCAGCTGTAACAGCAGCAGCTGTAGCAGCAGCAGCAGCTGTAGCAGCAGTAGCTGTAGCAGCAGCAACTGTAGCAGCAGCAGCTGCAGCTCGTGTGAATGCCCTTCCAGTTGCACACAGCGGATCTGGATAGGTTGCTGCGACTGCACCCACAAGATCACACACAGCCATCATCATCATCAGCCATGTTCAGTCCTCTCGTGGATGAAGGCTTCCTCAAGCATTCGCCAACTCTCATCAGTGTCCTGCGAGACATTTCATTACCCGTTTGATGCTTACGCGGCACCGTTACAAATGAGATTTTCCACATCTAGAGATGATCTAAGATACCTACCAAAAACAGATAAATAACCCAGCTACTCCCTCCACAATGGGCTGACTTCATCGCTCGTCTCTGCAGTGGCATCGTCTGCGGCGCGTCCCCTCCTCTGGACGCATCCCCATCGAGAGTCTCGGCCACGCAGCGACGTTTTCCAATCCACTGGTCCCCGCGTGATTCCAAGTTCGCACCTCTCCCCCAAGATCCTCGCTGTGTGTGCACCTTTCAGCCTTCGTTTAATTATCTTCGGCATCGTCCGCGTTTCTTAACCACACGTCATCCCAGGTGATTATGCAAAAACCTCGCAAGGCGTGGACACGCATGAGCTGGCTCCAGTCATGCGGACGTTTAAAGGAATTTGCTGACCTTAGCTGTCAGTAGGTTCTGAAATCTTCAAGTAAGAATGTTAAGGCAGGCATAATGGGAAACGTGCTGATATTTTAGATTTTGTCCGACGTGCGTTTCCCGCTTTTTAATAGCAGAAAGCGGCGTTTGCTGCAGGCGTAAGCGTACCGTGGCACGGGGGGGAGACGGATGTTTGCGCGTGACGGACGGAGCTCCCGCAACGCGTTCACGCAATCATTAAGGACGAGCGCTTACAGATGGGCGCAGAACGCACGAATATTAACGTTAGCTACGCCTGCTCAAGCAACCATTCTGTCGGGAAATACCGCGTTTGGCGGTGGGGCAAAAGTATAAACAACAGCAACAACAACTTAACAATATTCAATCATGATTTTAAGCTTTCACGACTGCAGGAATTCATACTCTTTGATTATTTCGGTAAAGTCACGTAGATAGAAAAATAACTAATAGATCACGACGTTTTGATCGCAACACAAGCAATCGTCCTCAGGTGAAAACAAACTGTTGTGTTGGCCGACTCTCTGAGTTGCATTACATGTCTAAGTTTGCTAAGTTTGATCTTTTTCTTTGTCTCTCTCTCACCCTGGTCCCTCTTTGAATTTCACCCCCACTCTCTCGCCCGTCATGGCAGCCCCCTCCCCTCCCTCTCCCCTCGGATTAGCCGAGGTATACCTAGCTCTACGATCTTACATTGACTTGCAAATTCCATCTCTAGCCCCGCCCACTTACCCTTGGGTTGTAGCCACCTCAAACCTTTATAACCTTTGGCTGCAGTAGCTCTCTCGCTGCATTTCTTCCTGCCTCAGCAGTCCGCCTGCTGTATGTGATTGCTTGTGTTGCGGTCGAAATGTCGTGATCTATTCGTTTTTTTAACAACATTGTAAATAAGACTGTGGCCTTAAAGGGAAAATATAAGTTAAAAGAGGCAATATTTTGGATAATGGCCCTTTTCATCACAGACAAATACTCTTTCAGAGTGCACAGAACCGATGCAGAAGGGCCATTGCCCAAAACGTCGTCTATTACTTGTGTATATTTTCGTTTAGGACCACAGTGTGATTGATGAATATATTGAGTCTCTGTTTTTTGTGCTCAAGCGACGACATATTATTTGCGCACGCACGCACACACACACATCGCGTACACCCGGTCTACACCCCCACTGCAACACGCGAAGGCATTGCAAGCGAGCCGACTTCCGGCTGCCCGCACGCAGGCTCCTGTTGAGCGACAGGGACTGTGGCGTGCGTCGCCCTCGGTTCCTCTGGTGAGCGCGCATGAGTGTAGTGAAGGCGGTGGCTGTGCATGGGGTTCCTGCACTCTGCAACAAATCCTGGCGGAGTTTAATTCCCAACCACGGCTAACATCAGTGGCAAAACATTTCTGTCGGAATTTTTCCCGGGCCTCCCCTAGGTCGACTCGGCCTCTTATGATTAAGCCGATACTTTTGGAGTATGAAACTCAGGACTGGGGAGACAAAGTCGGCCAGGCAGGTGTTCTAGCTGCACCACCCCCTCGTGTGACGTTGTGCTGTCCTTCGTAAAAGTCTGTTTATGTTACGAGGGGGATCTTTGTCTTTTGTGCGCAGGTCCCAATCGGTGGTGGAGCGTGGAACCCTGCAAAGCGTCGACAAAGAGGAAGACAACACCCAGCCGCTTTTATCCCTCGACTGAGCGCCCGGCGAATTACTTCACCCACAGCCAATCATCGTCGTCGTCGCTGTCGTCTCACGGGAACGACGGCAAAACCACCGTGCTCAGGCCGGAGTCTCGGCAGCTGCCGCTGCTGCTGCTGCTGCTAACCGACGAGAAGCGTTGCCAAGAACGTTGAGACTCGACGAACCAAACAGAGCTACAAGAACTTTTGGTGTCACGCACCTTCGTACATTTGCAGGGGAGAGCAATTGTAGTGGCGATGACTTCACCGCGTGTCCGGTGTTTGCGAATTGCGTTCCCCTGTGTTGTTGCCAGTATTCTTTGCTCCTCCTGCAGTGGTTCAGACTGCCCAGTTGCCACCGCCGCCGCCGCTGCTGCTGCTGCTGTTCCTGTGAACCGCGCTCCCCACCTGTCACGCTCGTGGCTAGTTCTGCATTCTCCGCGCCAGCGTAGCGATTCACCGCCCCCACTACCACCACGTGGCAGTGAATGGCCACGGCCCAGAGCCACGCTTCCATTCAAGGGTCGCTTTGTCGTCTCTCTTTTCACCTTCTCGGCATTGTCGCTTCTCATCTATTTCTGTCTCGTTTGCGCAGTTTTGGTTTGCTCCATTGAGCTTGTTGAAACTTGTGTATATCATTTGCATACATCGGATTCTTACACTAATGATTCAATGCATGTAAGGCCAGATAACACATTTTAATCTATGAATCGTTACGCCCTGATCGTGCGTATACCAATGCACCGATTCATTGCTTAAGGTGCAGTCCTACACTTTTGATGCACGCATACAATTGTGCGTGTAAGACAACGGTGTGTCATCAATGCTGGTGACGTGAGTTATTATTAATGAGTGTTATATTTAAGCTGACAGTGTGCGTAAGGCAGCCGGGACAAATGAGACCGCTCAAACGTGCAAGACAATACAAACGAGACGGTACAGACGAGCAACACAATACAAACGAGATGGTACAGACGAGACGGGCGGTTCTGGGATGAGAGAATCGTCACCAGAATCTCGAGGTGGACGAGGACCGTGGCATCACGTTGCACGCCACTGGTGCCTCCCCACGCGGCGCTGTGACGTCACAGGGGTGGGGGCTGGGGAGGAGACGGCTCCTGGCACGGGCAGCGAGCCGCAGGGCGCCCTTTGACCCCGTGTCTTTGTCCAGTTTTCGGGCGAGCCGGCCCGAACGGACGACGACAGGGCAGGCGCGAGAGAATCGGTGCAGACGGGGCCCGAAGAGGGTTTGATTCTTCCGTTGAAATCGTCGTGCGAGTGACGGGAACCCGTCGCACGCGGTCCCTCCCGTCGGATGCGGGTGGTGGCGGCGCGTGGCTCGACGCGGCGTCGAAGGGCGGCCTCCGATTGGGTGCCGCGGAGTCGCCCGCGCGTGCAAGGCAAGGGTGGCACGTGACCTGGGGCCACCGATCGGCTCGGCATTTCACGCCCTCTCCCTGTTATATTCGGAGGTAAAAAAAACAACAACATTATTTTAAATGTTTTGTTGCTTTATTTTGTTTGCCAAACGTGGTGCTCAAGTGTTTTCTAAGTTTTGTTTAACGCATTGCCATACCCATCTGCTGCTAATGTAAATATGTCGCGACTTTAGAGAGGCCGGGTGTTCAGAAGTAAGAGGTTTGCCCTCCGCAATACGTTTGAAGTGTTTATTGTCTTTGAAATACTTGCTGGTGAATCTCATTTTACGCTGCCTTCGGGTGCCGTGTGTGTTGTGAGTGGCACGTGACGAGTATTACAATCTTGCAGTAAAAGTGGCTTTCAGCAAACGACGTTGCTGCTCTCTCGTCCGTGACTTTGTGGATTTTCAGATATTGGTTGATTCTCCAAATCGACGAATGAATTGGAAATAGGACGTGGAAAGTCGTATTGCATACTCTTTAATGTGAACAAAAGTAAAGTTATGACCAATTTCTGAGGGACATGTTATCGTAATTTTTTTTAAAGCATTGTAAGTGTGCATGAATCTACTTATTTAGGTTAAATTTGTTTTAAGTTCTGTGATAGGCAGCACTACGAGACACACAAGAGAATAATCAGTACTTGGATAAGTTTTTTTGGTCGCAGAAAAGCGTCACGAAGGGGACGTTACCAGCGTCTTGAAGCGGAAACTCGTGGCTTCGAAATGACCGGCGGGACACAACCCTGGACCCGAATGTAAAGGTCAAGGAAGGAAGAAACAAGTTTGCAACAGAGCAATGGGGAAGGTGGAATTTGATTGTAACGAGGAGGAACGACATCGCAAATGAATTGCGTGAGAATTAAACCTCGGAAACTTCACTCCGTGATTTTTCTTCATGGAGTTAGCGCGGACATCAGATGAACACAACAACGGGAAGGAGACCGATGGTGAGAGAAGGAGAAAGAAAGTTGGAGAGAAAATCAGATGGTGGGTTGAGGTGACGATATGTGGAGGGTCGCATTGGTTTGTAGGGGCAAGAGGTCACGATGAGCAGAAGCCACTGCGGAAGAAGGTCCCCTGCCCTGTAATGTTCAAGTTCACTTCTAAGACAACAACAAAGTCCATGATAATAGTAGTGACCCAAATCAATTGTCGTCAAGTACTCTTTGGTTCTTTCGGTAAAGTCACGTAGATAGAACATTCATAGATCACGACGTTTCAATCGTAACACAATCGACCGTCTTCTCCCCTGAAGACGGTCGCTTGTGTTGCTACCCACGTGACTTTACCGAAAGAAACCAAGAGTATGGATTCCTGCCGTCACGAACGCTTCAAATCAAGATTGTCGTCAAGTACTTTAGTTCCACAAAGCGAAAGAGAGATTAGAGAGATGAGCGCTCGGCCTGGGCGGTTCCTGGATTGAGCTCGAAATGAGATCGGAGGGAAGGAGCGAGTGGCTCGGCGGTTTCTCTAGATGCCTTCTGACAAAGTGAGATGAGTTGGGAAATTGATAGTGAAATATGGGCGTCCATTTGAAAGCAATTTTGCCTGGAGTCAATTTGGGCGCGATGCAGATGAGTGGACCAGGTGGGCGACATGAGGAGGCATCGTTTTTTTTTAACCAAGATAACGTATCTCCTCCACAGAGAGAGAATCGCCTGCCTCGAGCCTTCAACCAGCCCAGAATATAGATTGTGTCTCTCTATCTCTCTCATTTTGCAGGATTAATCTCAAATAGCTGCCCCCCCCCCTCGTGAATTGCGTGCCACCTGGCAGTCTGTGTGCCGGTGGAACTCCCGCTGCTGACATGTTGTGATTCGCGTCTCGTGGCGTTGGATAAATGATGAACGGGTACAGCGCGTATGACGCAAATGTGACGTCGGCTGTTGGGGGGCATGCGTGGTGCACGCTCGAGATGCCGCCCCCCACTGCCGCTCCCCACCCCTCAACCCCCCCCCTTCCCCCCCTCAACTCGAGATGGTTGCCGGCTTAGGCAGCAGTCCCGAGTCCTTCCAGGCAATTTCGCTTCTCGGGCTGGAGTCTGAGATCGACGTCAGAACTGCGACCTGAGAGAGAGAGAGCTGTGTAGCTCATCGGATTCCTCCAGAATAAATAGAGATTCTGATTCTGAGTGGAAATGTGAATTTGCCCGACTCGCGCGGAAAACTCAAAGTCACGTGGAAAGTCACAGGAAACGCCACTTTTAGTTATATATATATTTTTTCGACCGACTTGAGTTGTCCATCGTGGAGATTCGGGCCGACTCGGGGTTGACCGCGAGTTTGCTGTCAGTGGAAGCGACACGCGTGGACAGACAGCGGCTCGCGCGTCTGCACCTGCGGTGGCTCGCAGCTCCGGTTCGCCGAAGCTGCGAGGTCCGACTCGGGCTCTCCAGCCTCGCTCAGGGTGACGCGCACACGGGAACGGCTGCAATGCGCTAGGCAAGTCGCTCGATCATAATCGGCGCTTTCTCCAGCAGACGGAGCCCACGCCACTTCCCAGCACGACTGGTCGAGTGTATCCTCGCACTTGTGCAGCAGCAGCAGCATCACCACCATCGCCACTACCACGCGTGTCTTTTGTGTTCTAATGATCATGAGTCCCACAGACTCGGAGCAAGAGATCTATTCAATTCACACAGAGACCCATAGATTCACAAGAGACCCAGCACGGGTGCATCATCATCGCCACACGTTGCCTCTGTGTGCCAATTTTAAATGAATCCAGTGCACGCGTTATCACGTGGGAGTGGGAAAACGCGCGGTGCAACCTGGAGCCACGAGCCACTGCTGCTTTAGGGGCCGTCCATAAATGACGTCACGCACCTGGGGGGGGGGGGGGTCAGAATTCTTGTCACGATCTGTGACGATGGGGGGGGGGGGGGGGGTTGAGAAATGTGACGTCACATCAAAATGCGCAACTTCAAAAAAATATAGACAACACGTTCTACTTAATTAAATATAATTTTAAATAAATGTTTTCTCCTACGACATCAGAGTGCAGCGCCACATTAAATACGCACTACAATGACAATAGTTTAAAGAGATTTCAAGCATGTTTTATTTTCAAAATGGAAATATGTTTTTTGGGGGGGGGGGGGCAGAGCTTTGTGACGTCATTTGAGGGGGGGTCTGGCTTTTTGTGACGCCGTGTGACGACGGAGGGGAGGTCCAAAATCGTCGAAAATCGCGTGACGTCATTTATGGACGGCCCATTACACACGTACACACACAAAGACAAAGATCCCCCATATAGTCAAAACAGACTTGGGGCAAGTGCTGTTCGCGAGCACATATGAAGCGATGGGGAGCGGTGGTGTAGCGGTTAGCGCTACGCTGCGCTACGAACCCGGCAACCCAAGTTCGATTCCCGCTCACGGCCAACACCGGTGACGATGATCTGATCCGGTCATGGGCCTCCCCTAGGTAGACTAAGCCTCAAAACGAATACCGGGCGTGGTGTTGGCCACACACCCCCTCGTGTGCCATGCTGGCCTTCATAGGTGCTCGCTAACGTACACACCAATACCAATGCTCGCCATTCGTCACTAAGTGACGGTACTGATTTGAGGCTGAGTCGACCTAGGGGAGGCCCATGACCGGATCAGATAATCGTCACCGGTGTTGGCCGTGAGCCACACACACACCTACACACACGTACACAATAATGTGAATTAAATTATGCAGCATAACATTGTCTACAGAATCGAACATTTAACCTCGCAAAATATTTTATATATGCGTAAAACGTACGAAATGGTCAAATAAAATGTAAAAATAATTCAAATGCGATGAATGCCTCATATTTGTACAGTACACACATGCCCATTTATTGAATAAGATACGTTTCACAGCAGTCATCCGTGTGTTCGCCTTACGTTGGCGGGGTGCTGCTCTTGAACCCAGCAGCCTCTTACAAAGTAGATGGCGATGCGAGTGACAGGTTTAGATTAAAAACCACGCGGTAATTATTTTTGTAGCAGAAAAGCATCGGAGGAGGCGGGAGATGTTGGAAGCGTGCCTCCGATGATTGCAGCGATGTTGAGAATGCTAAACCCGGCGATGGCATCGCACCGCGCGCAAGGAAAATCCTGATGAACTTCGATGTTGACGCCTGTCAAACACGGATGCGCATCGCGCGATCCGTGCGAAACGCGCCGCGCGACCGGGCGCGACGATCCATTCACGGGCAGCCGCCACTTCGCGTTTCTATAGAGTACATTTTACTGAGTCCTGTGAGATGTTGGGAAATGTTGCATCGTACGATAGCCACGGAAGCTATCGTGTAAATGCATTTGAAGGTTAGCGTTTGATATCTAATGGAATAAAGCTGCGTGTGTGTGTGTGCCAAGTTGGATATTAATTGGCAAATTCGGGTACATGACCCTAAATGTCACCAATGTGTGTGAATCGATTTTTACTGACTTGGTCCAAAAGATATATATATATCTCCAGCGCCCTGTAGTCTATTGTTTTATATAAATCATTGCAATAATAATAATACACAACTGTATACAATTCAAACGCAGGTGTTACACTCATCTACGGCTCCATTTGTAAGCAGAGAAAAACGATTTCCAAAACCGTGTCAAACTTTTCGCAACGGATCCACGACCGCGCAATTACATTACAAATAGAATTTCGGTCAAAATGTCAACACGATTGTAGCGACGATGCCTCTTAAAACACCAAGATCGATACGATGAGTATTTTAAAAGGCTATCTCAGCACCAGATCATGTTTTTTGTTGTGGCTGCTGCTCCGGATTGTTTTTGAAGGGTAAAGGTCACAGGACAAATATATCGTGTGCTGCTGCTGCTGATGCTGCTGCTACTGCTGATGATGCTGCACACATTTAAGACACGAGGACGGGTCACGAGATGGAACCTTACGATTTCACATCGCACAACTCTCAGTTGCCGATGAGTGTTGATAAGCGTGAAATGGCCCCGCGTCCACACGGCACTGTGAGCGGCGTCGTTTGCGTTCCATCACTCCGGCTCCGCGCGGCTGGCCTGAGAACACTTGAGCTCCTATAAAGACGACGATCGCCCTCATAACCTCAACAGACTGTAGGGGCAAGTGCTGTTAGCGAGCACCTATGAAGGCCGACACGGCACACGAGGGGGTGGGTGGCCAGCACCACGCCCGACCGCCTTTGTCGCCCCAGTAACAATGTTTACACACCGCTCCAGGTACTCATTTGAGGCTGATTCGACCTCGAGGAAGCGCAGGACCGGTTCAAATATTCGACATTGGTGTTGGCCGTGAGCGGGAATCGAACTCGGGTCGCCGATTGTTACTGCGCAAGATCGCGAGAGGTGGCGGCAGAGGCTTGGGGAGGCCTTCATACAGCAGTGGATCGAACATGTCTCATGACGGTGATGGCATGACGTAGAATACATTACACAGGGGAGGTATCGCAGTGGCACCGGTGGTGGTTAGCACATTGCGGCACAATGCCCGCCGATCTGAGTTTCATTCCCTGCCACTGCTACCATCAGTCTCGAGCGATACCTGAACCGGACGTGAACTGCCCCTGGACACCCCCTTTAAACCAAGCTGCATTGACGAGCGTGGTGAAGTATGGTCAAGCAACACCACATGCGTGACACGGCGTGGGTGGGTGGGGGGGCTTCACCAGCAGTGGGTTGAACAAAGGGACTGCGAATAAAACAATCGAACGCCGCCAGTTTAATCGAGAACGCATTGCTGCCCTGCTCCACGCGTGGCGAGATGGCTCGTTTTGTACTGTCCTCTGCACAGACCCATAACTGTGAACAAGCGGAGCCATGGCACAACAACAATAACGGTGCGTCCGCTTGCACAGTCGCTCGAATAATGCCCGCACCCTCCGCGGCGTGCGTACGAACAGCGCGATGACAGAAGGAGGAGGGGTGACGATGGTGATGAGTCTATGGGCCGTGCCACGCTAATGAGTGGCACGCTCAGCTCGTTAGAGTCGCGGAGCTGCGTGTGGCCGATCGGGCCCAGGGCGAGAGGCAGCAGCGAGCTCCGAGCAACAACCGACATCAACGATACAACGATGTTCCATGGTTCTTCTGGTAAAGTCACGTAGATAGAAAAAATTACAATAAAATAATGAATAAATCGAAACACAAGCGGTCGTCATCCTCCCTGTTCCTGACGACGACCGCTTGTGCTGCGATCGATACGTCGTGATATTTTTATTCACTGTATTTTTTTATTGTTATATTTTTTTCTATCTATGTGACTTCACCGACAGAACCATATAATATGAATCCCTGCAGTCACGAACGTTTTAAGTCAAGATACAACTGTTTCATTTTACCGGGATGAGACCCCACGGAGCTGCTGCATCACTCGCTTTCAGAAGAGACTTGGCGATCATAAACATGGTAGCTCCACGAAGTGGCTTATCGTGTGCAAATGTATAGATGCCAAATACTCTAAACGCGTGATGTTGATTCTAAATGTGGAGGGAAAAACCTGGAAGAGCCGGAGAAAAATCCTCGCG